ACACGCTGCACACGTTGCACACCAAGTGTGAGCTGAATCTACAATTCAAATCGAGGGATTCGGTGGTGGGTGGCACTGGGCGATGGTGCTGCCTTATTAGTAAACAGGCCCGGGGTAAAATATGCTCAGTAAAGATAGCAAGCAGCCAGAGCTGGGAAAAATAATAACCAAAATAGAATAGAATCGGAAAAGAACACTGCATATAGAGCAAATAAACTCGGGCTCTTTTTCTCCTGTATATAAATTTGTGCATTTTTATGAGTTTATATCGCAAATTGTTTGCGTGTTGCCTTTTAATGCCCGCGGCTAGAATATTTTTGCGCGTTTCTTTCTCCCCGTTACCATATTCTATTTTTTGTATTTTTGTTTTTTAATATTGTATATTCAACTATTCCCAGAGTCAAGGAAGAAGGGGGAGAGAGTTGGCAAACAGTGTTCAAGATATGCACAAGAAATTATTTAAATTGAAAATTGTTTGTTTAGCATTTGTTGGCGCCGACCAAAGATAAATTTCCAACTGCATGACCATCAAGGGGAGTGTTTAGATATAGCATAAAAAGTATATATATACATCGAGAACCTAATGCAAAAGGAGACTGACTGTTGGACCCCACTAACTGGGTCATTCAACCTTTTGGACCAGAGAATTTATTCGTAATTTACAACTGCCAGTCGAGAGAAATTCATTTATGGCAAATCCATGGAGCTCCGACTAGAAGTGGGACTGAAACTTCAATCTTTTAATGCCTTCATGGCACATAAAACAGAAATAATCGTTTCTACATGTCTGTTGACTCCTTGTAAACAGCTATCTTTGTTAAATAAGTGGAGCAGGAGACCCGAAACCGGCAAAAGCTCAAACTGGGTAAACAAAAAGAAAAAAAACTGCTAAACCAAATGTACATTTCACTTATTTTGCATACAAAATTCATTTACGACCATGTTCGGAGATAAAAGCGAAAAGAAAAATGTTACAGAGCTGCTCTGTAAATTTGCCGAGCTTCGGACTTTTCTCTTTTTTATTTTTTGGGTGGGGAAGGACAAGTAAAAAGCATTTCGCATATATCAGATGTGGATTTTGGATAAGTGGAACTTTATTTGATCCATACCATTTGGTTGCCACTAAGCATCGTTGCACTCCGAATGCCAAAATGCATAATTAATTAATTCACTTTACACACACTCGCACGCACACACACACACATGGTGTGTTTGTTTCTAATTAACGTAAAATTGTTTTCACTCTGTTCAAACGAAACTAAGGCTAATGGGAGCACAACAACTGCTGTCAGTTAACCAATCATTTTAATAATATTACAAATTTGGTTAAATTAAATTAAAGCTGTGTACCAAAGCTTTAAATTCCTGGTAGATATTTAATATGTAAAAATGTAATAACTGCTTTAAATCAAAGGAATTCGCTGTCTGTATATAAATATCGAAAAATTCCGGGAACAAATAAGCGAGATTCAGAGCAAACCAAGCACAAAGAATTAATTAGCACAGTTAAGTGGAAGGCAGCTGGAGTTGGGCTAAAAGCCAGAAGGGACAGGAAGGTATAAGGACGAAACCCAATCTGGGTGTATCCTCTTTGTGGGCACTAGATACAAATTGCTGAATGTGTCCAGATATACACACAATTGACCTCGATTTTGTGCGGTCTGCCTTGAACATAATTATCGACAAGTGTTCCTCCAAAGCAGCTTATTTCTGCTCTTCTTTCCGCCCCCAAGTTGTTGTTCTTTAAAGCCCATTTTCCCTTGCTTATTTATGCGCAACAGTTGGTCAGTTGTCTTGGCCGAAAAAACAAAACAAAAGTGAGCCTCATCGCCTTTGATGCTCTTTGCGGCCGCTAAAAGTACTTTATCGTATTGACTTGGGATTGCGATGAAAGAAAAAATAATAATGATTGAGAATATCTAAACAAAATCATAAACATTTTTAATTTTACAATATTCTAAACATTGGAAAGTACTTCAGAAGTTTATTAGTTTTATTGTATTTCGAATTTTAAAAAGAAATCCATGTTTTTATCTATCTATCTATCTATCTATCTATCTTTAGATCAAGCTAAGAAATTTTATGTTATAGTATTAGAAAAAAGAGTTTATTCACGGATTATATTATTACATTATTTTTTATATGCATATTTATTATTTATTAGAAAAACGATGGTAATATAAATATAAACATTTATAGATTGAATGACTATATATTTAAAAAAGAAGCGTATTTCCTAATTATGGAGTTTTCAGTCTATAAAGTCTTTAGTGACATCTAGGCTTTATATATTTAATTATAATACTACAAATCAAAATTCTCAAATCCTTTAGTACATATTTTTTAAACGTTTTAAATTTTCCGCTTTCTATATATTATTAAATTCAAAGAAATTTGTATGTTATCTTAAGTTTTTATAATCTCAACTTAAAGTAGGTTTCAATAATACAATTTACACCTTTCAACTTGTTTTATTTTCTTAGGAAAATATACTTTCGTCTTTGGTATATTAGGGAAAAGTTTTAAAATTTAATTTAAAAAGTAACAAAGCAAATTGTGTGACTCTTTAAAAGAGCATTTTCATCTGGTTCTTCCCAACCGATTGTCCCCGCAATTTTGTACTCATAAATCGGATGCTTTTTACACAAAAACCATTTCGATTGCCAGTGCCAAGACTTTGGGCCACTTTTTGTAGGTCGCTGTGTGTGGTGGACGAATGTCGACGTTCACGCCCACGCCGATGCCGATGCCTTCACTTTGACACAGACCCGCAGAATAAATAGAAATCCATGCACACACACGCACATTTTGACACTGAGCTCCGAGTTGCTCAATTAATTTTGATTGCAGCCTTGGCAGCTGTTTTTGATTTTTTCCCGTAGGTGTTCGTTTTGGTCGTTCGTAGATTATTTTGTTTGTGCTGCTTTTCATCGAGGATTTTCCACAGACACACAACACAGTTCATGGTGAAGTTCATTTATCCATAAATTTCTCATATTCAAGTATTTTATTTTTCTTTTCGTTTTGTGCGAAAAATAAATAAATATGAAATGTATTCATTCGTTTTGAGCGTTTTTTAGACGATGCGTGAATATTGCTTTGACTCTAACTAGATCTGTGGCAACCGCAAGGCTGAGGTTTTTCAAGATGAACGATTTCATTTGATATATACAAATTAATTAAGATGATTGGACTAACGAATTTCTATATTGTCAATGAAATACAAGTCTCACACCTTTCCACAACTGAAAAAGCAGAAAGAAATGTTTGCATTTTCAAGATTTATAGACTTCAGGTGCGAAAAGATATCGCGTAGCGCCCCATGTGTTTTGTTTATGTTTATTTCGACGAGAGATTTAATTGGGCACCTTGCCTTAGTCAATAATAGAAACTTAAACTTGAACTTGGCCAAATGCTTGTCTAGATAATTTAATTACATTTTCACATAGTGCACTCAAATAAACAAATTGAAGCGTAAACTTTCTTGTGATGGTGCGTTGGCTTTTAGTCAAATTATTTGCGGGCAAAAGTTTGTCATATGAGCAAGAGTTTTAATGAAATTACGTATTGATTTTAGTTTTTTTGGACCAATTACTGGTGACAAACAAAAATGTTCGACTTTGTATATCAGTAAGAATTCAATCTAAATGATTTGATTTTGTATAATTCAAATTGTTTGACAAAAGGAAACATAAAGAAAAGGAGATTTAAAATTATTATTAAACAAGACAGGAAGCTTTGATGCTGATCATTTGTAGAGTCGGAAATGACTCCTTAACAGCATAACAAGCTCCTGACTAAAATTATCATACCCTTTAAGGGTATAAATATAATTCTCGATTTAAGATACAACTAGCATACATGGCGTATACTTAACGTAAAAACCCTTAAATTAAGTATACGCCATGTGTGACTTAACGGAAATTAATTTTAAAAATTATATAGATAAATAGTTCCAGTTAAAAAGCAAGTTAGGCAATTCAATTATAAGATCGCATAGGAAGTCGATTATAATTAAGCTTTAAACATTTTATAGCTATAAATATTTTTATATTAATTTTATTGACAAAACGAAGTTTTAAAAACTCATAACTAATCCAAACACTCATTAATTTAAATTTGGAAAGCTGTCCTATGTTAGTTTTTATTAGTTTAATAAATCTGCATACTCAAATTAAAATTTAAATATATCCAAATTATTGCCAATTTTTGACAATTGTACGGATTTAACCAATTAGCTTTTTTAAAAAATTTTTGAAAATTTGGAGAAAAATAAATTTTTGCGGGACAAAGCTAGATTGATTTGGCTTTTGATGCTGATCAATAATATGCATGATTTATAGGGTCAGATCTTATTCCTTTACTGATTAAAATTAAAATAACCCTCTGCTTGCGTATAAATATAAATATTCTTTATAATAAAATTATTAAGCAAATGGCTTACTCTTTCAATCTCACCACCAAGCTTTGTAGTTACCCAGCGAAATTAGCTAGAGATATGCAAACAATCTCAACCGTTTTAACCGCACAAATATGTATCTTTGAGATACAAAGTATGTGCTCTTGACTTAGCATAATTGCTGGCAAATTGCTTGAAATTTGTTCTGCCAAACCAGAAAGCGAAAGGAATCGACTTCAATAACAGATATCTGGCAACTGGCACTGGGCACACTTCTGTCTACGTTTCCTTTCAATAGTTTTTCCCCCTTTTGTATTTTCCCCTTAGATTTTCGCACGGTGACGTCACAGACACAGTTTCCGCTGCTGTTGGCATCTAAATTTGTTTTTGGCCACCGCCGCCCCCTTTCCGGCACCCACACTGGGCATTATTTTGGGCGATTTTGGCATCGGTCAAATCTATATCTGTTCGCTGACGTCGACGTCGACAGCGGCATTAGCCTAACCTAAAAACATTTTCATGATTTTCGTAAATTATCTTGCGGGATTCGGGGCTCTTAGGCTATTTGGAAAATTGTTTCAACAAACTTGCGTCAGTTGAAATTTGTGTTTCAAACGCGCCACACACTAATTTGCATTTCAAATTCAAATAAAATAAATAACAATGGCTGTAAGTTTCACAAAGGATAATCCTATGTCCTGGGTGGATTAAAAAGGAACATTTAAATATAAAAAAAAGAAAACAGTTGTGTGTTTTTAATAGCTGTAATCGCTTATTAAAAATCCATTAATTTAACCTTAATTATTCCCCTAACGTGATTTTACTTCGGAAACATGAGCATCAGTTCAAAATTTAACAGTTTCCCAACCTCAATTCATGGTTTCCGATTGCATTTGCAAAGTGAGATGAGCACGAATCTGGCTACTCGAAAAAAAACAAAACAAATTATAAATATTTATAAAATTACTGATATGAAAGTCACGTTCAGATGATATACTCAATCAATTAATTTGCACACTCAAACAAAGTGGTATCAAATAAAACGAAATGAAAAGGAAAATCAGCAAATTAAATAGCTGCGTAAAAAAAAGTGCCAAATAAATAGGAGATATATGTATATATTTGAAAAAATAATGAAAATGCAAAATGACAGCATATTCACTTAATGTGAAACTGCTTATTAAAACAATAAATTTGCATTTGATTTATGTATGTACAGCGTACATATTCACAAATGTGTTTGGGTGAATTCACCCACAGAAAAACATAAAGCAATCAATGTTTATATGTATTTATAATTAAATAAGCAATTAAAAGACAAAATATTTAATTGCAAACAGCGTTGGCGATTTAATTAAAAATTTCTTAAATTGATTAAATATTTAAATAGTCAATTAACAATTGACGCAGCAAAGTATTATGCAGTTGTACTCCTCCAACAAAAGCCCGCTTTTTGCCCGAGGGCCTTAGTTGGTTTTCCGGCCGAGTGTTTTCAACGTCGCCCACTCACACAGCAGCTGCCAGATCATAATTCATTCTCATATATCTCGTATTTGTGCCATTTATTTTCGTATATTTAAATAAAAAATCACTTAGTTGACAGTCTGGCCTGGGGATGGCAGAAAAAAGTAACCAAAAAAAGAATCCCTTGGGTCCTGCTGCCCAGTTAACCAGTAATAAATTTGTACCATTCCCTTGCCGGATCAATGGAGAAAAGCCTGCCCTACATTCGCTCGCAAATCACTCACTTTAATACAAAAAAATACAAATTGGTACACTTTTCATGCATAAGTTATTTGGCACATTGTATATTCCTTTTACACTCTCGATTCATAATTAATTTGCAAATTTCCGCTGCTGACATTTGTCTCTCAATAACACTGACAAGTTTTTGCGACAGACAGTCACAGCCGGCGGGCCATAACTTTGCGCTTAATTGAAGTGAATTATTTGTTGAATTAAGGGCGAAATGTCAGAGTTGCATAAAAAAAAAACATTTGTCGAACTTTGTCTTTGGGGAGTGTCACTTTTTTCTCGTATTTTAAAATATCTTTGATACTTTTTTTTGTGCAATTATTCCCGCGGACTTGGTGACAACTTGTGATATATAAAAACTTTTCAATTTGTGCATACAAATTAACATGTAATAAATTCTCTTAATGACACACTACATTTATTATGAATAGTTGCGCTATAATGTAATTTTTTGTTCTTGTTTAACCAACGCCATATGTTTATAATATATTAAAAACCGAATGGTTTCTTTTTTCCATTATTTTTTGTTTAAAGTGGACCAATGACCTTTTTCGCAGTCAACAACAGTTTGACATATTTTAATTAATGTGTGTCTATTTGCGGGACTTGATTCATTGCATTTTTAATGGAAAATTCTGGAAGGATGACTTCATGCTTTAAGCAGAATTTTGGAATGTTGTTTATGGCAGCAAACTGTTGAGCCAAAAACATTGCCACAAAATAATCAACCGAAAACCCAAACAAATTGTTGACGCGCGCGTCTGCCGCTTTCTTGGCAACAATGCAAAGGCCATAACCGTAAAGTCCAAGGAACGAAACAAAAATTTAATGCAATTTTGCATTGCTTAGCTTGTCTTTTACAATCCACTCAAGGCCACAAGGCGGTGTCAGTAAAAAACAAACATTTCATACCGATGGGATGATATAAAAATATATAAAAATAAAAAAGAAGAAACAACAACGAGATGATTGTCAGCCCCCTAGTGTTTGGGCGCAATTTTCATTTCACTTGCTTTTGGTTAATGTTGGCCAGCATCCGCCAATTGGCAGCTGGCCAAATGACAAATTGAAATAACAGCAGCAAAAATGAGCGTTTATCTTTATGTTCAAATGAAAATTTTATTTATGCCAGCAGCCGGAAAAAGGCAAACAAACTAAAAAGAGGTCGCCATTCAAGCAAACAAAAAGAAAGAAAAGATATCGCCACCAAAGTTGAGGGTTATTTGAAGGTCAGGCCAAGAGCAGTCGCACTTTTTAAATGAATTAAAGATGTGCTTTAGAAGGTCTTTCGGGTAGTTCAGGGTTGAGTTGAAATAATAAACAAATATATATATTTTAAAAAATTTCCAACAATAAGAAAAACATAGAAGCTCAGTCAGGTATACTAGTATTTTTAAACTTAATATTCTGATTTATAAGCATTCTAATTGTTAACAAAAAATATCCTATTCAAACGAGCTCATTTATTGCAGTTTTTCTTGAGTGCATGAAAGACCCAAAATGTCAGTGAATGCTGAAAGTTATATGTATTCATATCCTAATAATTCAGTAATAAAGTTGTTTTTACTTCTTGTTTAGAATAATAACTTAACAAGAGGTTAGTAAGTTCTACCAAGCAGAGATTTCTGTGTGCGAGTGTTTTCTCCACAATATTAACGAACTTTTAATGAAATTCCACAAGCGTCGGCCAGAAATTGACTCCCAATACTGTGAAGCTGAAGCTGGCTGACCGCAATCGATTTCACTTAGCTGTTCATCACCTACAAAATGATTTTTAAATGCAGCAGCAGAAAGGAAAACCAACTGTCAAGCGGCCAACCAGATAAACCAATTAATAATGAGAAAACCGAGCCAAGAGCCAAACGTAAAATGCAATTCTATCAGAAGATCAAAAACAACAACAACAACAATAATTGCTGGCTTGTTTGTACATTCAATTAAAAAAAAAATGCACCTGAACGTATAAAAAAAGGGGGAGTGGAGAATGAACCCGGTTACGAAATCGAATTGGAATTGAAGCAATTGCGAATGCAAATTGACGTACAATTCATTAAAATCCCCTCGGTTCATTGGTCGCCATTAAAGCGTGCCATTGCAATGGCTCGCTTCCAGCTTCAAGCTCAATTTTTACCCATACGCACTCACTGTATTTGTGCATAAATACATGATTTAAATAAATAAATAATTTCCCCTTGGAAATATGAAAATGCGGCGGCTTTCAGGCAATTGTTGTATGCAACAGACTGTTGTGTGGCGCTCAAAAAAATAGCAACAATATATAACCAACAAACAAAATGGCCAAAGTAACAAAAATAATCATTAAAAAATACAAGAGTTCGAAGACTACATACCCTAAATTCATGTAATTTCATAAACAAAGCTCTAAAAATTACAGAAATTTGAAAAGCCTAATCAAATTACATTATTTAATTGTTTATTGTGAACAAGTTACTTATGTAATCGGTATCCAAATCCCTATAGACACAATTAATACAGACACACTCAATGTTCGCAAAATTAAATTGTTAAAAATTATATGGTCAGATAGAATATAAAACCTCTTTCGCTACGTTGTTTTTGTTATTCAATAATAATATTTTTTAATTGTTGCACATTGTTGTGTGCAGTTTGACATTTTGCGGACATTTTGGTTTCGAACCGAAAAATGTATTCGATTCGGGACGCTTGGCCACAAATCAAATGACAGCTTAAAACGTACAAACAAAAAGCCACAATTGGCCAGCAAAGCAATAAAAATAAAATAAAATTCGCCCATGAACAACGCACCATAAATTAGCAGAAATCGCGGGAAATATTAATGAGCCTAGGTTGCATATAAGCATCAGATTTCAATTACGAAAATATATATTTTTTTGTTGGGCAATTGTTGCATATAAAGAGGCGCTTTGAATTGGATAAATATTTTAGAACCAGATTTTGCATTGTTTTTAATTAGCAATACTTGTTCCGGGGTCAATTGGATTTGTGTGTGGCCCGACCATGGGGTCAATGAGTCTGAAGTCTGGGCGCAGTTTCTTTCGAACTAATCGAATTTCAAGGCCCACCATTCACTTTTTGGGTGAATGAACTGTGCGTCCGCAATTGACCCACGAGTAAATTTATTGCCTTCACGTAAATTTCAATTAAACAGTTAGTGGCTTTCCCTGTCAACTCTCCCATAAAATGCCCAAATGGCCCCGACTGTCCGGACAGGACAGGACTCGCGGTGTCGGAATCAAAATTAATTAATTGGAAAATGAATCTATTTCTGGGCCAGCCTCCTTTAGGAGACAGTACTCTGCCCTGTTGGCATTTGCTTTGATTTGGGCATTTTCCAAATGGAATCACACGGACACACACAGAGCCCACTAAGCCCCCATGCTGACCTCTGAACTTTGGGCAAAGTCCTGGCTGGAGATTCTCCTTGTTTATTTTTGAGACAATTTCATGGCCCTCGGCTGGGCTCGTTGTCTCTGCAACTGTCTACGATTACAGCAAATTGATTTGCCTGGCACTTAGCCGTAGCTATCCTGTTTCAACCGCCTACATCCTGTTGCCATGATTCTCTTGCTCTTTGCAGCCCCGCAACAAGGAACAGGAACAGGAAGTCCTCAACTGGGTGTTCGCTGTGCTGGGCGAGAAGGTTCCCAGTGGGCAGTATGAGGATATCCTTAAGGACGGCATCTGGCTGTGCAAGTTGGCCAACAAGCTGGCCCCCGGCTCCGTCAAGAAGATCCAGGAGCGTGGCACCAACTTCCAGTTGATGGAGAACATTCAGCGTTTCCAGGCCGCCGTGAAGAAGTACGGTGTCCCCGAAGAGGAGATCTTCCAGACTGCTGATCTCTTCGAGCGTCGTAACATCCCCCAGGTCACTCTATCCCTCTACGCCCTGGGACGCATCGTAAGTATTATAAATAAATGTACTAATATTATGTATTAGTAATATTTTTAAGGAGAAACCATTTGTAACCACCATTTATATTTCTTTTGAAAATATCATTTTTCTATTCAATGTGTGTTGATTCACACGACCATTAGAAGGAATGAGATTTCTTAGGCATTGCGTGTGATTTTCTTGGAATCCCTAAAACATATTTATAATTGATTCTTTGCAGACGCAAAAGCACCCCGAGTTCACCGGCCCCGCCCTGGGTCCCAAGATGTCCGACAAGAACGAGCGCACCTTCACCGAGGAGCAGCTGCGCGCCCACGAGGGTGAGCTCAACCTGCAGATGGGCTTCAACAAGGGCGCCTCCCAGTCCGGACACGGTGGCTTCGGCAACGCCCGCCACATGTAAAGTGACCTTACCACTCCCCCCAACCCACAAAGCCAAAAACAAACACAAACACAACACAACAAACACCCCACACAACAAAACACCGAATTCTAATTAGTTCAAAAAAATGGTTTTTGTATCTCGTGCGTTGTGCCGCATGATTTAAGCAGTGCCAAGCTCTAAATGTAATTTATATAATATGAAACAAATAAATTAATTAATTTTAATATAAATGTCAAGTTGTTGTCGTCCTCCTGCCCCCTCCCTCGGATTAGTATTATGTTGTTGTTAATTAGCGGAGAGCGACGCACAGTCGCACGCCTGTCGGCAGTTAGTCGAGCGGTTTAAGTGGTTTACCCCGCCCCAAATGGAGCCATTCTGACCCACCAACCCACCAACCCACCACCGACCTTGCATGAGACACCTTTATTTCTCTGTCACCGAGACTCTGAGCTGAGACTCTGTTGCTCTGCCGTTGCCTGGTCCACCTGAGATTACACAAATTACAATTTCAACGCCTGCACTGACAGCGATAAGCATAAGAAATGTCAAGGCCATTTGTATTTCCATCAGTGTGAGTGTGTGTGTCGAGGAGACAAAGAATCGGGTGAAGGAGAAGGAGAAGGAGATGGCCTTGGAAGTCGACTTGGTTTACTGTACACTGAGGGAACTTATTGGTTACAAAAAGGATATAGAGAAAAGGACTGAAACCTAGGAAATCTAAGTGCACACTTCGGCAAGAACATGATTAAGTTTAACTGACTAAAAATCAGTTTTTAGTTGATAAATACTTTAAAAATATCACGTCCCTTAAAAAACAACAATTAGGAACTCAAAATGACATCGTAGTTAAATGGCTACCTTTAGTACTTTACAATAAATTACTTTAAGTAAAATTCTATAATGAACAACAAGTAAAACATGTATCCCACAGACTCTCCTTCATAAATATCTTCCTGTATAATCGCTACCTTTAACACCTTTACCATAAAATACTTTTAAAATAATACTTTAATAAACAAGTAGGAAATTTATCCCATTTATTCATGAATGAAGAACAAGTAAAAATGTATTCAATAGATAATTCTTCAAAATTATTTCCCAGTGAAATGACTACCTTTAACACCAATACAATAAAGTACTTTTAGTACAATTCTTTAGTAAACAACAAGTAGAACATGTATCCCATAGATACACTTTAAAAATGTATCTCCCAGTGTAATCGTTACCTTTAGCACCTTCACGCTGCAACCTGGTAGAACGTTTATCTTTTTCTCGTCTATGCCTCGGACAAAAGAACAGCGCAAAATAAAGAGGCAGCTAAAGGAGGCCAACGGAAAATAGGGAGCAAACCACAGGCAACGGACTGCGAATATAATGATGGCGACCAAACAAACATTCAAAGAGGGTAAGCAAAACTTATCAGACGGACAAGCCAAAATGGCGAATGTTGAATGGCTTATATAAGTATGTATATGATGCTTGTGTTTGTGTGTATGTTTGCTTATGCCAATGATCAGCCGAAATGGAAATGGAATGTGTGGGTATGTGGGTATTGGGTGCGTGTTTAATTTCCACTTGTCGGGAGGCGGGAGGGGATCACAAAAACAAAAACACAAAAGGCCAGACAAAGCGCTCTGCCAGTGTTTGTATTAAATGAAATGGTCACTTTGACAGCCAACTGACAGCCAGACTATGCCTCTCTCTCTCTCTCTCTCTCTGTGTGTGTGTGCGTGTGTGTTTTCCCTACTCCATTAATTTAATTTTATTTATGTTGACAATTGCTGTAACAAACACGCATGTCAGCATACCCGCAGTGAACTAGGGGCCATGGTTATAGATACGGATGAATGCTGTGGGTCAGGGGGATGGACATTCCCTTTTCAGCCATGCCGATAGTATTACAAATACTTTTCCACTCAGACCACCTCTCCTCTATTGCATTCAAACACACATACACACACACAGGATAGAGTGAAGGGAAACGCACACGCTTCAGCAGAAAAGTATACTCTAATAATGCAATTTATTGGCAACCATAGTTGACAATGACAATTGTTGACTTTCCCTTTTCAGTTGTTTGCTGTTCTTGCCTCTTTATTTCATTTGGGGTTTATTTTTTCCTGCAGCTTAACATATACATTCCATTTGGTCGGAGTGTGTGTGTTTGTGGATTCATTCGATTTGTTGTTTCATTACATTTATTTAATTTATATACATTTAGTCCAAAATGACAATTTATTGTCATTTGTATTTATAGCTGGGCGGAGAGCATTTCCATTCCTGGAATTTCCCTCAATAGGTACTAGGATTATTATTTGTTTTGTAGCTCAATACAATTGATTTCTATGATTTCCCTCATTTTTTGCCCTATAAATTGTGTAATTGCTTGCAAATGGAATGCGATTATGATTCATAATGTCAATTATGTTATATTTGCTGGGAGATTTTATTATTAATGGCGGGGGTTTTTTATTTTCGCTATTAATATTCTTTTGTGCCGGACAATGATTTATTTGGAATAATTATGGTCAGTCGAATGTATTAATATAAATAAAAATACACTTCATATTTTCCAAGGTTTCCTTGAATGAATTTTTAAAATAAAACGAGATATTTTTCTTGAATTGCATTATTTCTCCTTCTTAAGATAACTTGATGTTTTCTGTATTTTTTCAGTCTAATGCACATTTTTCAGGACTTCCTTTATTTGTAAGACTTTCCGGCTAATTGAGCGAATGCAAAAAAACGCAAAGGGCTGCCACAAGCTAAAGAGCATTTCCACTGTGGTAGCAACGATTTTCTTTATTATTATTTGGCTTAAACATGCAAGCGCATTTATTTTCCTGTTGGCCAAGTTTTACTATCCCTTTTTTTGCCGTTACTGCGCAGCGGATTGGTTTAGTTTCGTTTCAGTTTCAGCGGGCTAAGTTGTACAAACATATTTCTACCTAATTGCTGAAACTTTGCAACAATTTATAGCTGCATTGCAGTGGTTGGATTTGCCAGGCTTCAGCACCAGAAGCAGCACCAGCACCGGCTCGCTCTCGCTGTCTGCGGCTAAGTAACTAAATGAAGGAGTTGATATTGGGCATATATTTCGAAAACGACAAAAGGTTAAGGTGTGCATAGTTCTCCATCTGACTTTGGCCATCCGTAGCCCAACTTTTCGGTCAACCCCGCAAACACTTCAAGCATATTTCATGCTCAACTGCACTGCAAACAAAGCGACGTGGCAAATGACACTAAAACCGAGCGCATTAGGTCGCATGGTCCTCGTCCTCCTCCCTCCTGTTCGCAGCAATAATTGCTGCCAAACCGCTTGCTGCAATCATAAACAAGCCAAGGGAGAGCAGAAGCAGCAACAGAACCAGAATCGGAATCCGTAAACCAAACGAAACGAACCGGAGCTCCTGGCAAAGCAGACTCCGGCAAATGCCAGTTGAGAGGCGTAATAACAAAGCCCCAAAAACCGGACAACAGCATACCGAATAACAAATGGTCAAAAGTTGATCGACTTTTTTTATGACCAAGATGTGTAAAAAAGTATTTATATAATAAGCAAGATGAAAGTATGTCTAAGATAAGATACAAGAAAGATATATTTTATGTTACAAGCTAAAATAAAATCCCTGAAGTAAGGATTATACATCTTTCTCTTGCTTTGCTTTTGAAAAACCCTTTCATAATATTATTTTTAATATTAATAATATTATTTTTAATATTATTATCTCGCCTTTTAAGCATTTCTAAAACCCAATCTTGTTCTAGTTCACCGTTGCTACTCCTCAATTCAATGTTTAAGGCTTTATTTATACAAAGGATATGTAAAACTGAATAGAAAAGCATACATTCATAATTTACTCTAGCTATTCTTTGTACTCAACTTTCCGTTACAGGGTATGTAAGTCCAGAATTACACACCGGCTAACAGACTTTGTGCAGCTGCTCGATTGCTTGCACTAAACACACACACACTCACACACACACACACAGTGGCGGGCACACACGCGCTAGCTCCTGCCAGGAGCTTACTTCATATTTATGCGGATAGTTCCTCTCCCCGGGCGGGGGTCATTAAGATGCAGACTCCTCGCCAGTCTGTTCCTTGCCTTGGAGCTGCAGTGGAAAATGATTTGTGCCGGGCACAAACTGCGTGAATTGGCAGTACAAATTGACTTGTTACAAAGCGCACAAAAATTCACCTGCCACTGCTCGGAATACCTGTGCCGGCAGGTTCTCGGGACTCGGAATCGAGTGGGTCCGTGTGGTTTGTAATCAGCTTTTGCACGTCCTGCACATCCAACTCGATCTCCACCTACACCTGCAACGCTTAGCCACAGCTAATCCCAGTTCGAGTTTGGGCCTTTGGTTTCCCAAAGCTGCCGGGGGGCAATAAATCATGAAATACTTTTGGCTGGGCATATTAATAACCAAAAGACAGTTGCTGGCTTGATTTATGCACGCCGTGGGTTTTTTTATTCAATAACCTCACACGGGCAAGCATTTAGGTAAGACGCTTACCGCTTTTATCGTTTTCTGTCGCCCACATGTGTCAGTTTCGGTGGGAATTTATTCTTTATCCCAAAAGTTATATCTACGGATTATGTAATTGGTTTAGAGAATAATTGATATGTAGTCTATCGGTTGTCTGTGGTTAGAATTTGAATTAGGCTTTGCTGACTCTATATAGAAAAAAAAAACCAATTATAATTAATTATCATATAGGACTAGCATGAAAATTGCGCAAAAATAATTTACATATATTCCGCGAGGAAAACCCAACTAATTACATTCTGAAGACCCAACCGAACTGAATGGACTTTTCTCCCTGGAGTTTCCCATTGTCCTCCCATTTAGCAGCCATGCGAACCGACGCAACGCGGCGTATACGTAATCTGCATTTTGCGACGCCTGCCTGCACAAAAAGTTATCGATTTAATTGGTGTTAAAATTTATGCGCACCAAAAATCGAGGCAGGCAATCCCTTTCTCCCACCCGAAACACACAGAAATAAAAAAGTTTGCAAAATCCCTGCAAATTACCCTAGCGAAGCCATCAAAGTGCGTTGCGCCAACATTTTTCAAATTATATCATGCAAAATGGTTTCTGCTCTATGAACTAAAAATTTGATACCCTATCGATGTGTAATCGTAGGTAATCTTAGTTGGAAAATAAGTACATTTAATGTATTTAATATACATTGGAAACTAAAATATATTGTATATAAGTT